CATTGTTAATAAATTAAAGTAACCTCTGGAAATGGTATGCATGCTGTTGAAAGTAATTATAGAAAAGAAATGTAGATACTTTTTTTAGCATGTTTAGTATTTTACCCAGGATACAGCATAGTATATACCTACAACATTTTGTCACAGGAACATTTTATGAAAAGTAAATATTATCATTTTTTACATGACCAACTACCACCCAATTTTGTACATGTACAAATTAATGAAATCATTTCTCACATTTGCCTCTCATGTAGAAGAAATAGTATTCAGGGATCGAAATTCAGTATATTTAATAGGTTGATGATCACATCTGATTCATTGCTAATTACATCAAAAATGCATTTCTTAAACATAAATCTCTTCCTCTTATTGAGGTACGAATTAATAATTGTACCGAGAGAAGTATTGATTTTATTAGTTAAAATTAAAAAATCAGATGAACCGTTCACTAAAATTAAAGTTTGTTGTGCACAAGAATGGTGGGGTCAATACTTGCCACAAGTACTCGACTAAAACAGAAAATGTGTCATGTTAAATTGTATTGTTGGATTACGGTGACTTTGTTGCACCTATGTATGTGTGAATTGACTCTGAAAAAGCAAACCATTATTATTTATCAACAAAACTATTATTCGCAGTGGATTTCTTAATTTTAATTAACATATTCTATTTATTGGCATATCTTTTCAAACTAAACATCACCGATCTATGAAATCATTTTGATTTACAACTTTATACAGTACATGTTTAAATGTTACTCATCATATTTTTGTGTGGTTCTAACATTTTAAAGCAATATTCATAAAATGAGAAATAATGTCCTTATAATTCTTAACAACCATACATGTAAGTACCCATCTTATTAATACATAGCATTTTTTTATATTTAATATAGTAACTAATGGTTTGTACAAAAAAGCAGTTCTTTTTTATCTGGGCACAGTCTCAAAACCTTTGAAGGACTGTAATCTGGGTTATGTGAACAACAACATGAAATAAATCTGTTGTGTAAACATTGAGGAAATCTGATCACTTGTTTTGATGACAGCCAACTACTGTGAAACACTTTAAAATAGCTATATGTAATTCTAGTGAATTTGGGTCAATGCATGTATTAACAGTATTTTAATTAAGCTAGAGTGCTAACAATCTAATTGTAAAACAATAACTTTCTTTTAAATTAGCGACTTATTGAATTAGTGAAATTACAGATAACATGCTAGCTAAAAAGACATATTTCACAGTATCTTTACACCTACAGTCTAAAATCAGATGGAATACTGATTACTTTTTTTAGCTCCGCTGTCGACTTTGTTGAGCGGAGCTCATCATACGAGTGATTGTCCGTCGTCGTCGTCCGGGTCAATGTTTTACTTTTTCGACTTCTTCTTGAAAACTACAAGCCTGAATGCTTTGATACTCCGTGTATATGTACATGTACCTTGGGTAGACCTCTCTCAGATTTGTTCATTTCATGATCA